ATGAAATGTTCAAAAAATAAAATAAATATAAGAAAAATTATATACAAAAAAATAGCAAGTAAAAAAATTATATATAAAAAATAGTATGTAAAAAATAATATATAAAAAAATGGCATGTAAGTGAAATTATAATAAAAAAAAGTAAAATACAAGAAAAAATAAAATATAAAAAAGATAAAATAGACAAAAATAAATAAAAATATAAAGAAAATAACATTTAAGAAAAATACAATATAAAGAGGTAATAAAAAAAAATACAATCATTTGTGAAAATTCACTTAATTTCTTAATAAAAATAAATAAATTACAAATTCTGTTTAAGTAACTTTTGAAATTAAAATTACTTTTACTGTTTCAGGTATTGCCAAATATTCAACATTAATAGTCTTTAAGAATATTTTATTGGTTTAATGGTCTATACTTAATTTTTACATTTAATTTAGTCTATAATTTTTAGCATGTCAAATTTAAAACACCCACATATAATAATTGTTGGTTCTAAGTCCATATAAATTTTGAAATAAAAATAATTTTTTGGCATTTTTGACTTTAACATAATTTTAAATAAAAATAAACTTACTCAAAACTGAAAAGATTTCAATAGTCATTTATGTAATGGTATTTGAAATTATACAAAAATCTGTATTACTGGATTAACCTGTGCATTAATTAGCAAATTTATAAACCTACAATAACCTAAAAGAAAAATGTATGGAAGTACCTGAACTATTCTTTAATATAGCATAATCACTTGCTAAAGTTTGTGCGTAAAGTATACTCTCCGTCTTTCAACTTAAGATAGATAATTATATAAATTTACAATAACCTATGAGAAAAATCTATGGATTGCGGAACCTGTATATACTACTTTTCAATAGAATATTATCTCTAGGTTTAATATTTTAAACCTATAATAATCTAACAGATATATATGTCCAAGTATATTATTACAGACAGTGTTCGTTGTTCAGGAATACTGAGGAGCGTTCTTTGAAGAATGCATATCATCTGGGTTATCTTGAATGGGTTTACGCTTCTTTTGCAGTTGGCTGGATGTTATTAATGAATTTAGATGTACGGGCATGATATCGTGTCGTTAACGCATATGACAATAGTTATAGATATTAGACATTTCATTATATAGGTTCTTTCAATTTTGAAAGACATAAAGTGCTTGAATGAGGTAGGGGTTATTTCAGATATGATTTTGGATACTATAAATGGGTTTGAGTATGGGTAGACACATGTCATGGGTAGACCCCTGAGGACAGCGAATATTACAATATTTTTAAACTAAATGGCTGAGCAAAAATAAATTTAAGTGCTTTAATGAGGCATTTTTCAATTTTGTTTTTTAAGTAAATCAATTTTTAGAATCTTTTTTCAATTAATCAATTCAGATTTCTAAAAATAATTTTTAAAAGCACGCAAAATAGAAATTTTATAATTCAATTCAGAGGAATTAATTGTGATTGACTTTTGAATGGCAATGAATTTTGCGATATGACATAAGTGCTATTCTCTAGAGTTCATTAGCAGTTTTTCTTACATTTTCTATTTCAAAGTATTTCCTTTTTCCCCTACACATGTTATGTATATATGTACGTTTATACTATAAATTAATACAAATTATTTATACTTTTTGCGTATCTGATTTTTTATTTTATTATTAATGGAATCTGGTCAATTATTGAGTCTGCGAAACCGAATTGTTTGTTTGTTTTTATAAAATTTTGGATTTCGCAAAGAAAACAATTAATATTTTCTGCTTTCCATATTTCAATTTTATGTTTTTTGATTTTGTTTTTTGAGTTTGTTTTTTGATTTTGTTTCTTAATTTTGTTTCTTAATTTTGTTTTTTTTTTTTCATTATAAACAAAAGAAAATTTGAACGTGAAATAAAGTATTTTCAATGAGAAATTTTTGTAAAGTTGATATTACTTATATTATTTTTTAAATTTAATCAAATCAATATAAATATCAGAATTGGGATAAACATTAGGTAAATTTTACATGTAGTAATACAAATAAACGTGATTCATTAAGTCCGTTACATTTTTACTTATGTTATATTCCAGAAATATTTAAATCAATTGAATGTCATGTCTTGTATTTTATTACTGCCTGGATAAAAGATCTAAAATATATAATATTTTAAGTCTTCAAACATTTCGATTTATTTTTTTTTAAATTTCTATTTTATAACAGAGGTAACTCTATTTTATTTAACAGAGTTAGAGATCACAGATAAGATTTTCAGTTAATGTTAAGCTGAAGTGGCAGATTTGTACACTAAACCATGCTAAGGCACACAAATGTTCCGATGTAATACCACAAATTTGACATTATCTATACGCCAGACCTAAAGAACCATCTTAAAGGTAGATGTCATAAACATACATGAACAATCGTACCTTTGAAAAGGGCAAATCCTTTATTCATGTTAAAGAAAACTAACCTGAACATTTTTGAAACTGGACTATGTGTCTTATTTTAAAGCAGAACTAATATAGTTCTTTTGGGAAAACGCACTAAAGATCTTGAATCTTCTTCCAGTCAAGGAGAACTCCTGGAGATAAGTTTAGTTTCTTCATTATCCTCAAAGTTACAACCCTGATAGTAGTTGTTAAATCGCGGTTTAAATCTATTGAGCAGATGCAGTTTTAGTTGCAACAGCTAGTTGATATATATTTTGTTCAATTTGGCTCAGTTGATATTATGACGATATATGACGAAAATTTTTATTTAATTAGGTCTTTGAAAATAATAAAATAATAATAAATAATAAATACTTTAATAATAATACTTTTTATAAAGAAAACATTTAGATCTTTTGGATACAATTTAATCAAAAACCTGGCTCAATCTAAGCATTTTAGAATGAAATCATTGTAGTATTTTTATGTTTGAGTTACAACTATACCTCACAATTGTCTAGTTTGTGTTCAATATCTTTATATAAGTGAACAATTAATCACTTTAGATCTTAAATATTATAATATTAATAATTATTTGTAATTTTAGTAGATGTTTAACTTATCTTGTGTTTAACTTAGTAGATCTTATTACCTTTAGACAAAACGAATATTCTTGAATATATGAGAAATTTTTTTAATTGAAAATTTGATTTTTAAATAAGTGAAAACCTCAAAAACCTTTGGCGATCTAATGCAACTTTGCAGAACTATTTTTTTAAACAAAAGTTTTAAAATTAAAAAAAAAAAAATAATTTATAATAGTTAACAAAATCTATGTAGCTGTGGTTTATGCATAAGTTCTGTAATAAGTGTTCATACAAATAAAAATTAAAAATTTACAAAACCTGAATTGTACAAATTAATTAACACAGGCTTTGTGTATTAACATTAAGTTTTAGGGGTCAAATTTGACAGTCTTCAATTTCTAACACTTGCAGGCTTCAATTCTTAACACTTCAAAAATTATATAAGGACAATTAAATCCATAGATATTTTCAAAAACCATTGATGATGAATATTTTGCTATATTTGAAACTGTGTTGTTAATCCAAAAACTCATTTGAATAAAAGTTTGATAATAAATTTTTAGAATTTTGGTTATAAGTTTTTTTTGTTATTTTTATTATTTTTATTATTTTTATTATTTTTATTATTATTATTTTTATTTATTATTATTTTTATTTATTATTATTATTTTTTTTAAAACAACTTATATTCACAAAATATTGGTCTCGCCCGTGCGACTAGTGGATTAAAATTAGTATGACTTTCTCAGCATTACGTTCCTAGATTAGGTTCTATACATAAGAAAGAACAAATCATGCAACAAATAATGCCTCTACGAAGAGAATAGTATTGAAATTTAACAATTGAAAATAAAATTATAATTAATTAATTAATTCAATTATTTTACAGCTGGTTTATGATTTCGTTCTAATATAAACACAGTAAGTAAAATTGTTAATAAAAAATTTCATAGCAAAAGTAACAAAACTATAGAACAAAAAAGTCAAGTACGGCTTTGGTTCAGTTGGTTAAGGTGCGCTGATTCTGAGTTTCACATTTGGCAGGACCCGTAGTTCGATTCCTGGTACTTGCAGTCTCAAAAATAATTATTTACGAATAATTAAATACAAGAATTATTTCCAAGACCACTGATGATGATGGGCAATACTTGACACAGCTGTATGGTCCGCCAAAAATTCAATTAATTAAAATAATATAAAATGAATTTTTGTTGTTGTACTTCACTACTGTTCGAAAAAACCTCTTTATTAAATTTTTTATATATTTTTTTAATATTTTTTCATATATATGTTTTTATATACTTTTATTTTTTTTTATAATGTTTTTATATTTTTTAAATTCTTTCAATAATATCCAAAAATGCATAAAGGTTTTTGTTTTCCTACAAAATTCAGTGGAAACTTTTTGACATATAAAGGAAGTTTTAGTATTGTTTTCATTTGAATTTAAAATATTTTTCATTTTTATTTGATTTAAAGACTTTCAACAACAGCAACATGAACTTCCCCCAAAAATGTTTCAAGACTTCAGACTGTTCGCGAGCATGTCAAGAATTTGTGCATTTTAATTAAAGAATTTAACACTTTGTTTAGACTTTTACTTCGCCTGTCAAAGCGTACAAAAATTAAATAAAAACGAAAAAACTTTTCTTCAGTAATAAACAAAAACGTTCTTTGTGTCTTTGTTGTCGTAAACGAAGAAAAAAGTAATTTCGTGGTTTTGAACTTTACAAAGAACTTACTCCATTCAGTGCCCTAAATGTTACAATTAATATTAGATTACCATATGTTCCAGTTGTAGGAAGGGCTCCATAAACTTCACTGTATATGTCGTTCGGATGGGGCAGCAAAAGCTTCAATCATTTATGCAACTGTGCACACATTTTCCATTAAACTCATCTCGTTTTTCGAATAAATAAAAAAAATTAAAATAATGTAAATAACTTCTGTTTGAAAGACGCTTTATTTTTACATTTGATGTTTTTTGAACTTCTAGACTTTACTATCAGAAAATACATCGGACGATCATCATTGGCCGCGTGAACTGATCTTACTACGTGAAAAGTTTACAGCAAAAAGTCAACTGGAAATTGCTCAACTGCAAATTAAACATGAAGAAGAGGTATAGCTCTATTAAATATATATCAAATAAAACAGTTATTTATTATTGTATTTTTCATCATTTATTAGATGTCGCGCTTAAAACTGGAGTACGAGAAACAATTAAATCGCAAAAACAAACGTCACACAACGTTTGATTTGGCGCGAAATTATGAAGAAATCATCAGTGAACGTGATGGTTTACGGGAGTTGTCATGCGCCTTTCGATATGTGCTCTCCGAATTGGCAAAATGTGTCTCACAGTGTGAAGAAGATGCAAACACTACTTTAGTTGATGAAGTGCAACGTATTTTGGCAAATAATCGTACTTTGGAAGAACATGTAGACGATTTAGATTTTAATCTTAACATGACATTAAACACTACTCTGAATTCTACTTCGAAAAATATGCGTTTTGTGCCTGATGTACAAAATATATTAGAAGTCGTAGAGGATCCGAGTCTGCTACAATACATAAGTAACAAAAGTGGCGAGTGTAATGATGAATTTGACTTGAAAGATTGCTTGCAACGTTTAAAAACAGAGGCTTCTTATTTGCTACATCTATCAGAAGACTTACAAAACCGTCGTAAACGCCAAAGAAGTGAATCTAGTGGTGGTGAGAAAAGTGATAGTTGTTGTGAAGCAGAAAGTGATCTGAAGGAACGCTCGTTTATAAAAACTCGTAAATTTTTGCGTACAAACTCTTTAAATGAGCAACACTTGACCACCTATCAAAAAACAGTCACAACAAAAACACAGCTCAATTCCTTGCCACCTGATTTGAATACTATACGTGTTCAAGGTTCTGGTACCTCTTCCACATCTGGTGGTAATGTTTCTGAAATTAATTTCCAATTGCATGAATTGAAGAATCGACTTATCAAATCCGAGTCGGATCGTTTAAAGTTACAACAAGAATTGGAACATACCATACATCGTAATGCTGAATTAGGACAGGAGTTGCAAAATTTACGTGATCAAATATCGCAATTAAATTCACTAAATCATACCGATTATGCAGAAGGTTATGGTCTTGGTTCGCTTAAAAGCCCACGTCAATCCGGCATTGATCAGTCTTCTAGTTTTGCGCAACTGCAAGAAAAAGCACGTAACATTCTCTCTACACCTACGCAGAAGAAGGATGATAATAACACAACGGTTGTCCTTTTACAAATGATAGAAGATTTCTGTCGTGAAGGTGAAAAAGTTGTTGAATGTAATAAAAAGGATAGAGACGATTTGCAATCCCAGGTGAGTTTTTGGTTCTTTGTTTTATTTAGTTATTTATTATAAATATGTAGCTTTATTATTTTATTCTAAATTGTGAATTGTTTAATTCATGTATAGTTATCTTATATATTATTTTTGTTATTAAATCATTCAATAATATTCCATATGCATGATGTATATATACGTTATTCATGTTGTGCTAAATATACAATTAAATATACATATATACTAAAGTTGTAAATAGATTACATCTGAAAGATATACTTTAATATACACGCAATAATATACATTACATAAGTACATATATAATATACTTTATTATAATACCATAAATATATTATTTAGAATACATATATTTTAGTTTAATATTTATATAATAGTGGTAGTTTAAATATTCATGTAGTGATTATATGACGTTAAGGATGTATATATATGTAAAAATAAATGTGTTTTATATATGTAATATAATATATGTAATATAATATATGTAAAATATATATATAATTTTCTTATGACTGCTAAAATTTGTATATGTTTAATTATATATAGTTGCTATATTGTTTATTGTATTTATAATTATTGTATTACTTATTAATATATAATATTTTATAAATTATTGTTTACATATTATAATTCAATTCATATAACCTTTATTTAATGATTCATCTATATATTATGTTACATTATGTATTTTGTGTATTATGTATTATATATTATGTATATATTATATATATATTATATATATATTATATATATTATATATATATTATATATTAATATATATATAAAATATATATATATATATGGTGGGACGTTGGGACAGCGCACTGTCCAACAAGTGGCCCCACTGAAGTGAAGGATTAGTCGAAGTAGACCACGAAACGACTTGGGTCCTTTTTCGTCCTTCGATTCTCGGATGTTGTTATTGAGTTAAAGCTGGAGTGGCTTCCGTTCGCATAACTACATCTTTTGTTAATGCAAGCATCTCATTTAGCTTGAGGTTTCCTGCCAAGTCGTCACCAACCCAATGGTGTCCCAAGACAGTCTTCCTCCTACTTGCCAGTGCTGGACATTGGCACAATATATGCACCGCTGTCTCCTTTTCTTCTAGACATAGTCTGCAAGTGTCTTCCTCAGCAAGAGTTATCTTTTTGAGGTGATACTTGAAGTTGCCATGTCCAGTAATTAGTGAGGTCAGCCAGCTTAGAGTGCTCCGCGAATAGCTAAGCACTTTTATCGCTTCCCTGGCCCACGGTTTAGGTAACATGAGTTTGGTCTGTCTACAAGTGCTCAACTCTCTCCATCTATTAAGATGAAGTGAGATTATCCACTTATTGACATAGGCTGCCGAATATATTATATATAAATAATATAATAAATATATTATATATATAATATTATACATATTTCAGAAATATATATGATTTTTTAATTATATTTTACATATCAAAATTTACATGTTACAATATGTGTAGTAATAGTATATTTTTTATTTAAATGTCTTTGTCATATTGTCACATTTATTATAAGATAAAAATTTGCATTAAAAATTGGATAATCCGAATTATTGATATATTCGGATCGTAGAAGTCATATTAATTATCTTAATATATAACAGTCTTATATATTTATTTTTCCAACAAGAATTGAAAAAAAGAACAATAATATTCCACTGTCCATTAAATAAATTCAAAAATAAAATGACGCATTTATAAGATTTATGATAACGTTTATAAGCATACAGCACAGAAAGCCTACAGGCAAATAAAACATACATGTCTGTACGCACATAACCTATAAATTTATTTCACTAGACTTTTGAGGAGATATGTTTATAACAAATAATCCAGATTAGCGAATTAGTGGGTCAATCTGGGCTATAAAGTATATAATGCACATTTTTCGAATCCGAATTACCGGAAATTCGGACTAGCGGAGATCGGTTGTTTTTATGCATTCGAAGTAATTTTCCTTTCTTTATTAAGAAAATTTAAAATTTTAATAAACTGCGTACCAAAGCGGATAGTATTGTACATGGTGCAATAAAATTTGTATAATAGACAGTATGTGATTGTATTTAACAGAGTTTTCACTGTATTTATTTTTTTTTAATTCACTCGAATAGAATGTAAATGTTAAGGAAATGTAATCATTATATTTCCCAAAAGAAAATTTACTCCTATTACATTTCTCAAGATATTTTTAAACACTACTTATTCCTAATGATAAATTTATTGTTCGTTTGTAATATATTTAAATATAATATTAATAGTTTTTAAATCTCTTTTTATTCTCTTAGTATATAGTACTTATGTCGTATATATTATAATTATATTTTCAATTGAATTTTTTTCCAATAAGAATGTATTAATTAAATGTTTCCATAGATTTAAATAATGTTAATAAAATGTGTACAGTAATTTTAGTTTAGATATTCTAATTATAAAACTAATTATAAAAATTGCTTCAAATTAATCAGATCGACACCGCTGATAAGCAATTAAAAGCAACCCGTCAATTCCTGGAGGAACAAGCCGCTGAACGGGAGCAGGAACGTGATGAGTTCCTGCGAGAAATTGAAAATATGAAAGTCCAATTACGAGACAAAGAAAAAGAGCGTTGCATATATGAGAATGCCTCTGAGGAGGTGAGTTACCGATCGTTATCTAAATGATGGTGTTCTGTGATTTCAAATTTCGTCCTGCACTTTTGTACCGTTTTGTTTTGGTTTATGGAATTTCATTTTCATTTGTTTATTATTAAATTTTTATCTAATTTCTTATTAATTGTTTTATAAAAATAATATTCTTTGAAAACTATTTTGTTGTGGTTCTGATTTTTTACCTAATTAAAGAAATTATCTTTTAATAATAATTCTTTTTAATTATTTTGGGATTTGGTGAAATTCTAATTTAAATACAAATAATTTATGTTAGATTTATTTTAGTTTTATATATAATATAATAATTTTACTATTTTTAGTAGTTAGTAATTCACAATAATGTTGCATTTCCACAATACTAATATTACTTCATAATCGTTTATATATCTAATAACATATTTCTATATTTTAATACTTTTATTTCTATTTAATATTTTCTTTCTTTTTTGTAATATTAATTTTGGTTGTCTATTTAATATGAATATTTTGTTTTTTGTCTGTCATACTGTCAAAACAAAATTCAAAACCTATTTTAAAATATTTTGCATTAAAAAAATTAAGAAATTATTAGAAATTTTTATGAGTATTTTTACTTCATAAAAATTAATTAACTGAATTTAATACTAAAATTAAGAAAAAATATTTGAATTTACTGCATTAAGTTCTTACAAATTTAAAAGAAACTATACACCTGCTTACAATATTTCACACTTGATTTGAAAAAATGTCTATAAATGAATGAAGCTCAAGGGCAGGTCGTAATTATTGAGCAATTATTGGATGTAAACCAAATCCAAAAATGTTTTGTTTATATATTTTATCCACGAGCTATTTTGGTTTGTTTATTAAATTTTGGAAAGTTTCAAAATCAATGCTCTCGAATTTTTTTCGACAATTTCTTCTATAATATTATTTTACTTGAATAAGAACTGAATAAATTTTATTAAAAAAAAAAAAAAATAGAATATACAAAAAAATAAAATAGACAAAAGGAAAACGTTCAGTTTGTTTAATTTTGTCATTCATTTAAAAAAATAATATTATTTAATAAAATTAAACAATAAAAATAAAAAACAATAAAATTTAATTATTTTATTGTATATAAATTTAATATTATTTTATTGTAAATAAATTTAATATTATTTTGTTATAAATAAATTTAATATTATTTTATTTTAAATAAATTTAATATTATTTTATTTTAAAATTTGTAATTATTTTTAATATTATAATGAAAAATGAACATAACAACATTCACTTCAACTACTCAATAATATTTTTTCTATTTTCATGCGCACAAAATATTATAAACTTCTTCAAAAAAAAATTAACAAAATGCACCATTATTAATAATTACCAAATAATCAAATTAATAACACTTAAAAAAGCATTTCAAAAAACCATTAACATATAGTAAAAATGTGAGTTTTTTTAATATTTGTTGCATTAAAAACTAACCTTCAAAATTTTATTAAAATGTAATCTCTTCCCACAATTATAGGTCAAAGGATTAGAGTCCAATATACGTGAACTAACCCAACAACTACAGGAGTCCAATGCTAAGCGTGAAAAATTCGAAGTCGAATTGAAGGCTTCGATTGATAAAATTTTTGTTTTGCGTGAAATAATTACGGAATTGGAGACTCAAGTAGAGACAAAGGCATTAAATGAACATGTTTTGGGTGAAAAAGTTAAGGTAAAGATCACGAAAATATATACAAAAAATCACTAATGTAATTGATATAGATTTAAATTATAATATAAAATATAATATAATAAATATAATATACAAATATAATATATTCAAATTTATATACAAATAAATACAAATTTATATATAATAAATTCAATATATAATATATTATAATATAAATAAAAGAAAATATATGAAATACAGTCAAACTTCCATATAAATCGAATTTCTCTATAACTCGAACTAAAAAGAGTGCACCAGGGTTTTAGAGAGCAAATTACATACAATTCTGCTTCCATAACTCGAACTTTTATAACTCGAATTTCTCTATAAGTGCGACTACAAAAAATTTGTCAAGTGACCAATAGGAATGTGAGAAAATGCATTCTATAAGTCGAATTTTTGCTTTAAATAAAAATACATTTTGTTGTTAGGGGAAGTCCCTTTTTCCAAACCAAATGTTTAATTTTTTCTTTCTCATGTTGCTTCTTTGTGCAAATGCCAGTCGCTGGCAGCGTAGTTTAAAGTAAATAAAATAATTTCCAATGCTAATCTTAACGATTATATTGATCTTGACAATGAAATTTGTAAATCAAGCTTTCCTACAAATGACAATATTATTGAGCACTATAGCTCTAAATTACAGGATTCAATTCTAAATGCAACGGAAAGTGATGAAAAGGATTCGGTGAATGTGATTGTTCATCAGCCTTCCAAGAATGAAATAGAAGACTCATTCAAAACTCTGAACTTATATTCACAAACGAATGGCATTCCAACTGATGATCACTATAAGAGTATGAATAAATTGGAATCTCTTTTTACTGAAAATAAGAAAAAAATTAAAGCCCCAAACCCTAATTTCTGAATATTTTACTTCACTACAAAATCTGTAAAATGTAATTCTTGTTTCTTTTAAAAATAAAAAAAATCTCTAACTTGAAATCTCCATAAGTCGTACCTTTTCTTTGCAAAATTGGACTTCGAGTTATGGAAGTTTGACTGTACATAACATTTATAAAATATACATTTTTTGAAATTAATATAAAATGAAAAAATCTTTGAAATAATATAAGAAATTAATAAAATTGTATAAATATGTTATATATTAAAATATGAAACAAAAAAAAAATAATAATTATAAAAATATATAGATAACCCTTTATATATTAATATAATATATTTATGTGTATATATTTATAAAAATACAAATAATATGTATAGAATTATTATAATAGAAAAATATAAATTTCTTTTAAACCATATATAGAGTAGATATTTATTAATTTATATTCATTAATAATATCAGTTTTTTGTGACTCCATTTTTTATGTATGTTTAATAATTTTAGGAGATGGAATCGTTTATATTTTCACAAACTCGTTCGAATGAAACCTTACAAAATGAGGTTATTAGTTTAAAAACTGAAATTGATCAAGATTATCAAGAACGCATACGTGGTTTGGAGGAGAAATTACAAAACATACGACCAACTGCAGAACAAAGTATGGTATTGGATCAAGTGGTGGAACAGGTGAGTAAAGAAAATATTATATATAATTTTTAACCGTTTTCAATTTTTATTATCTATTTATTTTTATATATTTTTAAACGGTCTAATTGATCAATTTTAAATAATTTACCAACTTATAAAATTAGTTTTCAAAATATTTTTCATTGCCAGTGATATTTTGATTATAGTATATAGTAATATATTTCTATACTAGGGTATTATTTATTTATTAATTTCTTTTTTTTCTATGAAATATTAAAAAGCTAAAAATTTGTTAATTTATTTGTTAATCAATTGTTATTTCTAGATTATTAAAAAATTTATAAAATCCTTTCTCTTTACTTATCTATTTATTTATTAAATTGATTTTTAAAGTGCATTTTGACGAAAGAAACTAAACTTCTGATATAAACTATTGTTTTCGATAAAGAGATTTTTATCAAACAGTAGTAAAATTGTAGCAAGAAGTTTTTTATTATTATTTTATAATTATTATGTTATAATTATTATTTTATAATTATTATTTTATAAATATTACTTTATAATTATTATTTTATAATCATCATTTTATTATTATTATTTTATAATTATTATTTTATAATTATTATTTTATAATTATTATTTTATAATTATTATTTTATTATTATT